TTGTATTGATAAACTGGTGACAGGCAGCAAAGACTGCCCTCAAAAAACAAAAAGAAATTATCATTTTATTGTGGTGAAACAGAATATAGACCCAGGGAGGGAATGAAAAGTATCCGCTGGAAGATTCTTGATAAACTGGAGTACGACCAGTGTGATTTCAGACACCCCCGACTGTAGGACCATGCGAATTAAGATGAACCATCAGTAAGGCCGGGCGGGGGATGCGTGTTTTTTCCCGCTTTTTGTCTTTCAGCCCCTGTGTCGTCTAGGGGGCAGAAAACTCCACATAGCATTGGGATTTAACACATTAGGGGCTTTGCCTAGCAGATTAGACAAGGATACAGGGCAACAGGGAGTGAAGCTACTACCGCAAAAGGAGCTCGATTAAGTACACAACCATGGACCTAATCTTTTTTTTTTTTTTGCGGAAGAACATGTCTCACCTCTGCACCAGTCTGATGCAATGCCCCTCTTGCTCCCCGCAGCCTCGAATCTCCCAGGCTCAAGCGATCCTCTGCTGCTTCACCTCCCAAGGAGCTGGGACCAGGACCACAGATACTCACAACCATGCCTAATTGATATTTTACTTACACCATTTTTGAGAGAGCAGGTCTTACTATAATGCCTCAGCTAGTCTCAAACTCCTGGAGTTCAATCAATTCCTTCTTTTATTTCACCTTCTATCCTCCCCCAGCTGGATATACGGCTTCGAGATCACTGTGCTTGCATACGCTCTTACATCATCACTCTCCACTTCATGACTGGACAGCCCTCACACATATATGTATCATTTTCTTCCTATCTCTTTTAATATTTCGTTTCACCTTTTGATTCACTTTCTCTTTCTTCAAGTTACCAGCACCCTTTACCCCACAAACCAAAAAGCTATCATACGTAATACCTGCATCCACGATTTAGCTTATCCACTGCAAATACAGAACTGCTTCTTAAGAGTACAATCGTGCACTGGCATGCCTGCGATCCTGATCTTTGGAGACTGGAGGCAGGAGATCACTTCAGCCCAGAGTTCAAGACAAGCCCTGGGCAACATAGTGGACTCCCTCATTTCATAAAAAATAAAAATTATATTGCCTCTTGTTGCACTGTGCTCAGCCTCGTAATCCACGCATCATGGAGGCCGAACGGGCGGATCACCAGTCAGAATCGCAGACATTCCTGGCTAACACGTGACACCCCTCTCTACTGAAAATACAAAAAACCCATCCGGGCGAGTGCGGGCGCCTGTATTCCCAGCTACTGCGGAGGGCGAGGGCAGCAGACACTGCTGACCAGGAGCGGAGCTTGCAGTGAGCTGAGATCCGGCCACTGCACTCCAGCCTGGGTGACAGAGCAAGACTCCGTCTCAAAAAATAAATAAATAAATAAATAAATAAAAATAAAAATTAGATTGGGTGCGGTGGCTCATGCCTGTAATCCCAGTGCTTTGGGAGGCCAAGGTGGGCAGATCACTTGAGGTCAGGAGTTCAAGACCAGCCTGGCCAACATAGTGAAATCTTGTCTCTACTAAAAATAAAAAAATTAGCTGGGCATGGTGGTGTGTGCCTTCAGTCCCAGCTACTTGGGAGGCTGAGGCAGGAGAATCGCTTGAACCTGGAAGGCAGAGGCTGCAGTAAGCAGAGATCATGCCACTGCACTCCAGCCTGGGCGACAGAGCAAGACTTTGTATCAAAAAATTAAAAATTTAAAAATTAGCCAGGTGTGGTGGCATGCGCATGTAGTCCCAGCAACTTGAGAGGCTAAGGTGGGAGGATCGCTTGGAGCCAGGAGTTTGAGGTTACAATGAGCTATGATGGTACCACTGTACTCCAGCCTGGGCAAGAGAGAGACTCTGTCTCTTAAACGAAACAAAACAAAACAAAAAAACGATTACCAATGTTACTAAATTCTTAGGCCTTAACTTACTTGACATATTTGCAGCATTTGACTTAGCTGATTATCCTCTTCTGCTTCTCTTCTGCTTAAAACATCTGGCTTCCTTCTATTTATGTGGCTGCTCCTTCTCAGTCTCTTTTGCTGGCTCTTGTTTCTCTCCTCAACCATTAACACTGGAGAATCCAGGGTATGGTCCCTGGGACCTCTTCTCTCCTGTATCTAAATTGTCTGGGAGATAGCAATCGGTTCTCCTCGCTTTAAATACCATCTATACATTGATAGCTCCCAAATGTGTATCTTCAGCCTGGACTTTTCCCATAAACTCAAGATATATATTCAGTTACTCATCAACATCTCCACTTGGATGTCTAACAGGCATCTCAAACCTAGCCTACCCAAAACCAACTCCTAATCTCTATAAATCCTCACTACCTCCCACCAAAACAAAACTAAAGAACAACCAACAACAACAAAACCGCTGATATTCCCTGGAATTAATCCATCCTTCCAGATACCAGGCTAAAAATAACTGGTGTTTTCCTTGATGCCTCTCTTTCACATTTCACATCCAATCCACTGGGAAAGCCCATTGGCACTATCTTCACAACTGACTAGTTCTCATTATCTCTGCCACTACTAACATGATCCAAACTGAAATGATAATATCCTCCTAATTACTCGGCTTGCTTCCATCCTTACCTGGAGACCCAAGTCTATTCATGACTTGGCAACCAGAATGATTCTTTTAAAATTTATCTAATAAAATTAAATTTTAATTCTATCCAATTTCAAATGGCTGAAATCCTCCAGTGGCACACAGCAAAAGTCCATTAAAAAAAAGCCTAGCCTTACAAGTCATTTAAAATTTGTCCTTCACCCCCATCCTTCTGACTTTCTCTCCTCTGGTCTCTTCCTCATTTACTACATTCTAACCACACTGGTCCCCTTGCTTTCCAGGAACACACCAGGCGGGTCTCCCTCTTAGGGTTTGTATTTGCTGCTCCCTCGACCCGGAATGCTCTTTCTCAGATACCTGAATGGCTTGCACCTTCACCTTCTTCCAGTCTCTGCTGAAATGTCTCCTTAGCTCCCGGCTATCCTACTTTGAAGTAACAATCTACCTATCCCCAACTTTATTTCTACGCACAATCCTATATTACTTGTTTTTACTGTCTGTTCCCCTTCTCTAGGAAGTAAATTCCAAGAGTCAGGAATTTTCTGTCTGGTTTGTTCATGGCTGGATTCCCAGCACATGGAACCGTATCTGACACATATCTAGTGCCAAGAATAAACAGTGTGCTTCTATGAGCTGATCAAAGAAGAGTATCATTTTAAAACCACCAAAAATTCAAGAACCACTGAAATTGTTTAGTTCCTCAGAAAATAAGATTTCAGGAAGTCCCTTATTGTGTAGTTGCAAGATTCCAGTCTAATCCATTTACCTGCTCGGAAAAGAATATTTAAGAAAGTGTATGGTCAATTCCAGCAGTTCAGCTACTTTTCAATTTTCACTGTAAAACCACCACCTTGCTTTGTAGAACAAGTGTTGTTGTTTTCTTTTCTTTTGAGACGGAATCTCACTCTGTGACCAGGCTGGAGTACAGTGGTGCAATCTCGGCTCACTGCAATCTCAGCCTCCCAGGTTCAAGCGATTCTCCTGCCTCAGCCTCCTGAGTAGCTGGGATTACAGGCGCCCGCCACCACCACACCCGGCTAATGTTTGTATTTTCAGTAGAGACGGTGTGTAACCATGTTGGCCAGGATGGTCTCCATATCCTGCCCTCGTGATCCGCCCGCCTCAGCCTCCCAAAGTGCGTAGAACAGGTTTTAAAGACGGTCCTCAGCCATCAACGCTTTTGTTTTCAGACCCTCCCTCTCTGGGGGACGGAGGCTAGTGGAGAGAGGAGGACAGGAGGCTCGGAGAGACGGCAGCGGCCGAGGCAAGCTCGTATCCGAACCGGCAGCGCGGCGCTCTCCCCGAGAGAAGCATTTGCCCTGGAGTCCCTCAGAGGAGCAAGACCTGGACCTCGAGCACTTTGGATTCCAGTCAGGATAGATCGATGGACAGAAGGAAAGGAGGAAGACACAAGTGCTGGCAGAATCCTCAAGAAAGGAGAAAGGAGTGGCGCGCCCAGGAGTCTCCTCCGACACACCGGGAAATGAAATTTGGGTTTAGCGGAGTTCTTGCCAAAAAGCCGCCCAAAGTACTTGAGAGCCGCCTTGGAGAGTGGCGCGGGGTGCCTGTCAAGGTGAGGTCGGCCCGCGGAGGCGCGGGTTTTTCCTCAGCAGCTACAGCCAGCCTGGCCAGGTGCCTGAGGCGTAGGGGCGCAGCCCACGTAGCTCTCAGCGCTTGCCCGGTGGGGCGTCACGTGACTCCGGGTGCGGTCCCCGCGCCGAAGCCCGGAGGGTCCCGAGCCCTCCCCTCAGGCCCGCCCCCTGCGGCCCGCAGCGGGCAGGTCGGCCTGGATGCTGGCGACAGAGAGGCTGGGGCGGCGCCCGGGGCCCCAGAAAGCCAAGACGACGCTCACCGGGTAGAGGTAGAGTACCGCTCCCACCAATGCCAGCAAGAAGGTAACGGCGAAGATCGCGAAGTCCAACATGGTTCTTCCGCCCAGGGAGCCACGTCTCGGATCGGCCGCTCGAGCAGCAACGCCTCAGCCTGGCCCAACTTAAGGCATAGCGTGTGGGCGGGGGCACCCCGCGGGACCCGCGAACCAACGGGCCGCCAGGGGCGTGACCGAGACCTGCGGCCGGCGTCAGCGGAGAGAGCAATGGATCGCCGAGGAGCCGGGGCGCGGGTTCCTGCGAGCAGCAGGCGGAGGCTGAGGCCGCCTAGCGCCATCCTCCACCCCAAGGCGGCGATTGCGGTGCACACGATTTGAGACAGAATATGCCCGCGACTTGGGACCGAGTTGTTGGCGAATGCAGAGCCCAGGTTTCTGAGAAAAGTTAGGAGTTAGCAGTGCTCTGTCCGCCCAACACTTTTCCCAGTGGATTCAGGATTAAAACCTCTAAACCAATGATTTTCGAAGAGTGGTCCCCGGACCAGCTGCATCAACGTCTCCCGGGAGCTCGTTGGAGATGCAGATTATCGATGCCGGGCGCGGTGGCTCCATCTGTAATCCCAGCACCTTGGGAGGCTGAAGCGGGAGGATCGCTTGAGCCCAGGAGTTTGAGACCAGCGTGGGCAACATAGTGAGACCCCCGTCTCTACAAAAAAAAAAAAAAAAATCGGCCGTGGTGGCGCGCGCCTGTGGCCCCAGCTACTCCGGAGGCTGAGGCTGGAGGATCGCTTGAGCTGGGGAGTTGGAGGCTACAGTGAGCCGAGATCGCACGACTGCACTCCAGCCTGGGCGACAGGGCGAGACCCTGTCTCAAAAACAAAACAAAACAAAACAAAAGGAAAAGAAAATAGAAAGATTCTCGATCCCAAACTACATCTACTGAATCAAACACTCGGGGCGGGCGGGGGAAGGGGGCGCGTACAACAATCTGTTTTAACAAAGCCCTCCCGGGGACACTGTTACACACTTAAATTTGAATGAAAACCACCACTGATCTAACCGGGACAGGGAAGTGTCTGGGAGTAAAACAAGAGTAGATACGCCTTGTTTCGCAGAATTTGTGTCTGAAGTACTAGTAAATGTGGTTCTTTGACACTTTGTGGTGAGCGGAGTCTGCACTCTGTTCAGGTTTCCTTGCTCTGTTAACTCTGACTTTCGGTAAATTGCTTGAGTTTTCTAAGCTTCCATTTCCTTCTAGGTAAAACAGTGAAAATAATATCACATGGAGTTGCCTGTAGGTTAATTTACATATTTTATGAAAAGCACTTAGCACAGCTCCTAGCAAAACTGATTTTGGCATTCGTTGCCCTGGGCATAAAATACCCTAGGACCCCTCTTTCTATTTCGCATGGCTCAGAAGTTTTGACTTGGCTAATGAAATACAAGGCAAGGCCTGCTACTTACTAGTGCTCCTTTTAGTGAAAGTGTGCTAAAAGTATTTATAGATTTTATATATTTAATAATATAAAATGTCAAGAACAGGCAGCGATTTGGCAAGAGAAATTCCAGATTGATTTTACAGCTTCTATGATAAGCGACTATTACATAAGCAGGAAACATACCTCATTGAAAATGCCAACTCTATTGGCATCTATAGCAAATATAATGAAACATGCTGTTTAATATTTCACTTGGCAAAAATTGTATTTTTAAGTCTTTCTCTGCATATAAATGTGCTTTAAACTGTCGTATGTTCAAAGTTCTTTTTTAAGTCTCTTGTTAGAATTTTAAAGATATTTCTTGTCAAACTGATGTTCCCAATAGGTTTTCAAAACAGTAAATGTAAGAGTTTTTTTGTTTGTTTGTTTTGTTTTGTTTGTTTGTTTTTGAGACGGAGTCTCCCTCTGTAGCCCAGGCTGGAGTGCAATGGCGCAATCTCGGCTCACTGCAACCTTTGCCTCCCAGGTTCAAGCAATTCTCCTGCCTCAGCCTCCGGAGTAGCTGGTATTACAGGCACGCGCCACCATGTCCAGCTAATTTTTGTATTTTTAGTAGAGACAGGTTTCACCATGTTGGCCAGGCTGGTCTTTAACTCCTGACCTCGTGATCTGCCCGCCTCGGCCTCCGAAAATGCTGGGATTACAGGCGTGAGCCACCGCGCCCGGCCAAACGTAAGAGTTTTAAGTGCATAAAGTAGCCATATAACCATAATCTTAGGTACCAATCCTTCCGGATATCTAGAATTCTCTTTTAGCCCTAAATTGACCTACAGCCTGAGACTCTGTGAACTTTGAGGGCTGTAAAAAAGAGACAAAAATTCCAGAAATTGGGCAGGGCACCATATTTTATAGTGAGTCTCTAAAACTAGACATCTACCTCCTCTTCCTGTGTTCCTAAAAACGTTTTGCCTAGGTACTCCCTAAAAGCATTAAAAATATGCAAACAATATATATATATAATATGTATATACACACACATATTTATATCCGTTCACACATTTTTTGTGTTGACATCTAAAATTTTTATCTTGACTTTAAAGGATTAAATTTCTGACATATTACAAATATTCTCGTTTTGAAATTGTTGCAGCTCTCTTTTAATTGTATGAAAAGGAATGGAACTATAATAGTGATGTGATAACTCTCAGACTTTTTTTAAAAACACACCAACTTGGCCGGGTGTCGTGGCTCCACCTGTAATCCCAGCACTTTGGGAGGCTGAGGCGGGCGGATCACTTGAGGTCAGAACTTCAAGATCAGCCTGACCAACATGGTGAAACCCCGCCTCTACTTAAAATACAAAAATTAGCCAGGTGTGGTGGCACACGCCTGTAATCCCAGCTTCTCAGGAGGCTGAGGCAGGAGAATCAGTTGAACCCAGGAGGCAGAAGTTGCAGTGAGGCAAGATGGTGCCACCGCATTCCAGCCTGGACAAAAACAAAACAAAACAAAAAACCCGTACACTTTTCGTGAACAACTGGAAATTTTCCATGGTTCTTTTTTCTGAACTTATTTTTATTGCACTTATCCAACAGAATTTTATTCTAATGAAAGTATTTTTATCCTTGAAAGTAATTTTCTCCATCACCTGTCATACTTCTCTTCAACATGTACTCATGTTGAATTAAAAAATAACTTTTGGGGCTGGGCGCAGTGGCTCACACCTGTCATCCCAGCACTTTGGGAGGCCGAGGTGGGCAGATCACGAGGTCAGGAGATCGAGACCATCCTGGCTAACGAGGTGGAACCCTGTCTCTACTAAAAATACAAAAAAAAAAAAAAAATTAGCCAGGCGTGGTGGCGGGCACCTGTAGTCCCATCTACTCAGGAGGCTGAGGCAGGGGAATGATGTGAACCCGGGAGACGGAGCTTGCAGTGAGCGGAGATCGCACCACTGCACTCCAGCCTGGGCGACAGAGCGAGACTCCATATCTTAAAAAAAAAATTGTTTTTGGGCCACACACAGTGGCTCACGCCTATAATCCCAGGGCTCTGGGAGGCTCAGAAGTTCACTTGAGCCCAGGAGTTCAAGGTTATAGTGAGCTATGGTTGTGCTACTGCCCTCTGTCCTGGGTGACATAGCGAGAACTAGTCTCTAAAAAAAAATCTAAAACACACAAAAGTTTTAAACTCTGTGGCTTTAAAAACTCCTACAAATTTATTTTAGTGTGTGTGTGTGTGTGTGTGTGTGTGTGTGTGTGTGAGAGAGAGAGATGGAATCTCCATCTGTCATCCAGGCTGGAGTGCAGTGGAAAAATCTCGGCCTACTGCAACCTCCGCCTCCCAGGTTCAAGTTATTTTCCTGCCTCAGCCTCCTGAGTAGCTGGGCCCACAAGCACGTGCCATGCCCGGCTAATTTTTGTATTTTTAGTAGAGACAGGGTTTCACCATATTGGCCAGGCTCGTCTTCTGACCTCCTGATCCACCTGCCTTGGATTACAAAAGGCAGAGCCCTCCCAAAGTGTTGGGATTACAGGCGTGAGCCACCGTGCCCGGCCTTAATTTTCTTTTTTGAGACGGAGTCTCACTTTGTGACCCAGGTTGGAGTGCAGTGGCGCAATCCCAGCTGACAACAACCTCCAAATGAATCTCTGGTTGACTACTCCTGGATTCCTTAGGTTGGAATTGTGAACATACAATGTTCTTAGAATATAGGGTCATTCTCAGGGTATGCTTACGTTATCACTGTCTGGTGTGTTTACCATGCAACTGTGACCACTGATGT